ACCGGCGTTGGAAACTTCAACCTTGCGTCCGGTGCGTCCCAGGTTATTCAGGCTGACATCACAATAAACATACATCATCTTCTCAGCACATCCGACAAGATCGACCTGAATATCGTTTATCACCTTGGTTCGAGCGTCTTTTTCAACTGCAAATGCCTGTTCCTGCGGCCTAGCCGATGTCACCGTTTGGACGCGTTGCTCAAGTTCTTCGATACGTTTTTGCGTTTCCTCCAGACGACGCTCAAAATCAGCTGCCATCGTCGCCTCGATCTGCTTGACAAGATCTGACACCTGATCGCGAAGATTATTCTGCTCAGCTAACAACCGGGATAAATCGCTTTCATTCCTGTCCTCGCCTAGTCGGCTCTCAAACGACTCGATACGTGCCAGAAGCTCCGCCTTGTCATCGTAGAGGCGACTTACTTCCGTATGGAAGTGGAAGACCACGCCAGCGAAAAGGATCAGGATCACGAATATCAGTATGGCCGATATCTCGAGAAACAGATTCCCACGAGGCTTGAAGTGGTTTTCCTTGTTTTCGTAATCCATCCCGTTCCACCAAACTCGTGCCCTTTCGGGTCGTCGCTTTTCTCGCGGACAAGACTGCAGGCCGCGTGATCCGCCGGCTGCTTTCCCGGTCGATATCCCGGAGCCAGCTGGCTCCGGAATATGTGTCGTGCAAGGCGATCAGGTAGTCGGATCAGCACTTTCTTGTTTGGAAACCAACGGAGCTGCCTCCCCGGAGGTGTCCGCGACTGTCTCCGCCGTCAAGCTTCCAGTCGACGGATGGGCTGCAATGTCTGCAGCGCCGTTTTCGCCTGCGGTCGTTCCATTGGCGGGCGCATCGCCAAGACCTGCAGTCAGCCCCGAAAGTCCCGACCCGTCCAGGCCGACTTCCTTCATCATCGCGTCCAGAAGCGGGGCCTGAGAGCGGTATTTAAGCGCGGAGGAAACCATCTGGTCGGCGAGGTTTCCGCCTCCGGCCCCATTGCCGGTCGTGCCATTCGCAACGCCACCGGCACCTCCGGTCATGCCATCCACCTGGATGATCTTGATGCCATCGATCTGCTCCATCGGCTTGACGCTTTCGGCAATGATCTCAGGCAACTGCTCCAGAAGCTTGACACGGATCTGCATCGCGATCTGGTCCGGAGACAAGAGGTTGGCAGCCTCGTTGATCGCACGCTGACCGTCGGCCTCCACTTCATAAAGTGCTTTTTCAGCTTCCGCGCGAAGCTTGTCAGCCTCTGCAGAGCCCTGCGCTTCGATACGAAGTTTCGCAGCCTCGGCTTCCGCGGCGATCCGGACCGCTTCCGCATGGTCGGCGGCGGCCTGTTTTTGCGCCTCGGCACCGACGGTGATCGCGACAGCATCCATTTCGGCCGCCTTGCGGGCTTCAATCAGTTCGATCTGCTTGTCTCGCTCGGCAACTTCGGTTTCCCGAGCCGTCGAAACCTGTTCGGCTGCACGTGCGGCGATTGCCCTTGCCTCATCGGCCTCGGCTTCCGCCTCGGACTTTTCGCGGGATTTGGCGGCTACCGCGATATCGCGGTCCTGCTCGGCAAGTTCAATCAGTTTCTGTTTTTCGACATTGGCCGCCTCGACCGAGCGTTCCTTGGAGATTTCCCGTTCACGCACCTGCTGATCCATCGCGATCTGACGTTCGGTGACAGCCTGGTTGGACTCAATGTCCTTCTCCTTGACCTTCTGGCTCGCCAGGATCTTGGCTTCTTCGGCTTCACGCTCGCGCTCCGCCTGCTGCTTGGCAATCAGAGAGGATTGCTCAGCCAGGCGGATCTGGATCTCGCGCTGCTGTTCAAGCTTGGCGAATTCCTCTTCGCGATTGATCTGCAGACGCTCCTGTTCGGCCTCCAGGTTCTTGCGCTTGATCTGGATTTCGGTTTCCTGCTCGATGTCGTTCCGCTTCTTCCGGCGTTCCTCGATCTCCTGGGTAAGTTTCGTGAGACCTTCGGCATCGAAGGCATTCTCAGGATTGAAATATTCGCGGTTGGTCTGGTCCAAACCGGTAAGTGATACCGATTCCAGCTCAAGACCGTTTTTCAGAATGTCTTCCGAAACCGCAGCCTGCACTTTCTGCACAAAGTTCACGCGCTGCTCGTGCAGCTCTTCCATTGCCATTTCCGCGGCAACCGCGCGCAAGGCATCAACGAACTTGCCCTCAACAAGTTCACGCAGAGCCTCCGGCTTCATGGTCCGCTGACCAAGCGTCTGCGCTGCATTGGCAATGGATTCGATGGTCGGCTGAACCCGGACATAAAATTCTGCCAGGACGTCGACACGCATGCGGTCCCTGGTGATCAGCGCCTGATCGTTGGAACGGCGGACTTCCAGACGCAACGTATTCATGTTGACCGGAATGACGTCATGCAGCACAGGCAACACAAGCGTGCCGCCGTTCATGATGACACGCTGGCCACCGAAACCGGTACGCACAAACGACACTTCTTTCGAAGACCGGCGATAGAGCCTGGAAATGATCAAGCCAACGGCCAGCAGCGCCACAAAGCCGATGCCGACCAGGATCAAAATACTTATGAGTTGGTCCATAACTTACAACTCCCTTTGTTTTTTTTGATGGAAATTTTCAGCCCGGCACCAGCGTCAATCGCCAGCGCCGGTCAATGTCGCGTTGGTATTCCTTATCGCCGTGAAATGCGGTCCCTGCTGGCGTACGATGATGATGTTCGTACCCTGCTCGAGCACTTCGCCTTCAACGTCCGGCTCCACAAGCACATAGTGGGACTGACCGGTCGGGTCGCTAAGACGCGCCTGCGCAGGAAGGCCTTCCTTGGCATGTCCCTGCACGATCACCGCGGGTTTTCCCACGAAAGTCTGCCGAGAGACGGCGTCGCTTTCGTCCTTTGGCATCACCTTGGACAATCCGAGTGCGGTCACCCTGGTAAAGGGCAACGCTCCCGCGAAAGCTCCGGCGGAGGCCACGATACCCGGCAACAGATATCCGGAGACGGATTGCACCAGACTCTGGAGGACATACCCGACGAGGCCGAACCCCGTGAGGAAGATCACCAGGATGATCAGCGCCGGCACCCTGCCGAAGCACAACCATCCGAGTATCTGGCTGAAGATACCTTGTCCGGGCCCGGTCAACTCGGTCCCGGCCGCAACCGTATCAAGATCTCCCGGCAGGGCACCGGCCTGGATATCGGCGTCGAAATCCGGCGCATCAACATCAGGCAGATCCACGTCGGGCAGATCCACTTCCGGAAGCAGGCTGTCGATCATGCTCGACAGGCCAAGTCCCATGAGCGTGCCGACACCTTCGGCGAGCGCGATCGCAATCATCAGTCCGAGAGCGACCGCAAAAGGTGTGTTCTGGTCGGCTAGGATGAACTCGACCATGTTCAACCGTCTTTCGCCGACGCCTTCAATGCGGCAAGGCGTTCAGAAACCCTGTTCTTGCGGGCAAGATCTTCCAGCTCGGCAAGTTTGGTTGCGTCGGCCTTGTCGGTCGAAAGTCCGCCGGGCAGACCGGTCGCATTCTGCATGACACGGTCAAATGCCTGTTCCGCCTTGCGGGTCTTGCCTTCGACACTGTCCTTTGGAGCCGCAACTCCCGATGCTGCACTGTCCGTCGCGCTTTGTTGCTGGGAACGGCGGAAATTGACCAGTTCCGCCTCCATCTCACGCTTGCGCGCCTGGAGAGCGCTCACATAACCTTCCAGTTCCTTTTCCTCCCGGCTGGCATCTGCGACTGCAGACTCCAGAACCGGAATTTGAACTTCGAGGTCAAGCTGGCGCGCAATGGCTGCTTCCGCGAGATCGTCCCGCCCTTCTTTCACCGCCACGGCAATCTGACCCTGCAGCTCTTCGTGACGTGTTGTCGTTTCCCCAAGCCGGGTGTTTGCAAGGTGCTTGTTCGCCAAGACACCGGCCAATTCATCACGGACCTGATCGACGGCCCGGTCCACTTCCCGGATTGCCTCTTCCATGACGGTTGCGGGGGAAGTGTTTTCAATGGAGTCCACCAACTGGTTCACACCGCCGGAGACCAGACGCTTGACGCGTGTTACGAGACCTTCTGCCATCTTTCCTTCCTTTCCGTTCCACTTCTCAAAAAATTCAAAAAATCCGGTATCCAACCGATACCCGAAACGACGGGTTGGTGCGCATGTTACTGCTACACTTATTCCGTATTTACCGTGGCCCGTTCAGCAGTCATTTGCCGATACAGGCCCCCTAGTCCCTGGTTTGACGCCTTTGATCCAGCAGCCGCGCAACTTCGAGAATGGGCTCGAGACGCCTGTCCATGAGTACCGGATCGTAGGTTCGGCTCGGGGTGGTCAGTCCGAGGTCAAATATCTCCTCGATCAATGAAAACAGCTCTGCGGACAACGCTGCCTCGAACTTTACCAGATCCTGTTCTCCCTGTTCCGGTCCCGGCGCCGATGCGATGAGTTCCGCCAGCATTTCCGGCAATCGCTCATACAGTTTCATGACAAGATCGGATCTGTTTCCGATTTCCCTTTGTAATTGCCGAAGCCCCTTCTCGGCCGGCCGCGCCATAGTGCGGAGCAGATCCTCACAGGCCTCGACATCCTGAACGCCCTCTTCGCGTTCCCGCGCTGCCTTCAGAATTTCCCGCATCTTGTCGCTTGGGGTTCTGGCGCCCTGAACCTCGTAACCCGCCAGGAACGAGACATCGTCATCGCTGAGCCTGACACTTATCGGAATACTCTTTGGCATACGCGTCACCAATTGTCTTCGTTTGCATCAATTCGTTTACATTTGTATTCAAAAGTTTTCATTTGTCAAGAAAAATCGACTGATGAGTGTGTCATGCGCCCCATGCACCTGACCACTCAACGCAGTGTATTCAAGGAAAAAGCAAACTATTTTTTCAAAAAACAGCCCCCTACGGTTTCCAACGGCACAGGTGCAATCGTGCGCGCAATTGCTTTGCACGACCACGTTGCAGCCCTGCAAAATGCCAAGGTTCGTGAGGAAAATGGCGGGGAGATTCAGATGTCGCTTGCAAGCCGCGACACGAAATCCCCGGCTTCATGCGAGCGGACTACCGCGTGGCGTACAAGATCGTCGAAATGGCCCGCGAAAAGTTGCACGTGGCGGGTATTTGAAAAAGCGAGGTATCTCTGTCCGAGATAAAGCGCTGCCCATTTCTGACCGAATACCGTGAAGGGTGAGGAATAGCGATCTGTTGCCCCAAACAGATGAAGCCGCAATGAAGGGTAAAGATCCGACAGGCTTTTGCCCATGACTTCAAGCTGTTCGCGCCGCTCATCGGGTGAAAGTCCGGACCAGAGCCCCTCTCCTCGTGCGAAGCCTTCCAGAGCTTCGCGGGAAAGGGCAATTTCCATGTCCGATTCTGCCCGGTGCAACAACGCTCGCTGATCCCGTGTTCCGGTGATCGCCTGATCCGCCGTGCGCAAAGTTTCCCCCGCGTATTCATAAGCCAGGACTGCCTCGGTCTTCAAAACGTCAGGCAGGTTGGCTGGAACATGACGGATCTTGGCGCCAACCGCATCGCGGTACCAGGCCAGAAGGTGCTCATCGACCGGGTGCCGGTCGGTTTCTGCTATCTGAACAGCCTGATCCAGAATTTCCGCAGCGGCTCCACGGTGCGTGGACAATCCCAAAAGCCAGTCCGCAGACACGCCGAGCGCAGTTGCGATCGCCGCAAGCGCCTGACCGTTTGGCAAGCGCGGCGCGTCTTCCGACAAGAGTTGCGACACCGTCGACCGGTCCAGCCGCGCGCCCCGCGCCAGATCGCTGCGGTTCATGTCCCGGCTGCGGATCGCGTCGGAAAGGCGTTCACGAAAGAGTTCTGCGCGTTCTCGTTTGTCCATGCGGGAGTATTGTGACCCTTCTTTCGAAAAATCAACAAGTTGCAGATCAAAATCAACGAAACATCCAAATTTGCCGCGCGAGCAATGGTTCAAACCCTTGTTGGGCTACGGGAAGGGCACCAGGCGGGTGGGAAATGAACTCCGTCACCGTTTCGAGGCACTCCATCGCCACATGACGACGGAGTGTGCATTCGAACAGTGGCACTTCAAGGTCGTCTTGCAGCGCTGCTAGTGCCGCTCGGTTGCGCCGATCAACAGGGCCTCTCCGAGTTACTCAGCCGCATTGAGCGCCAGAAAACCGCCGGATTGCCGTTCCCAAAGCACTGCATAAAGTCCACCGAGAGCCAGGAGATCACGATGATTTCCTTCCTCGACAACCCTGCCTTTGTCCATGACCACAAGACGATCCATCGCAGCGATTGTCGACAGGCGGTGCGCGACGGCCAGGGTGGTCCGCCCCTCCATCATCCGGGCAAGATTTTGCTGAATGGCAAGCTCTGCCTCGCTGTCTAGTGCAGACGTTGCCTCGTCCAGAATCAGGATCGGTGCATTTTTCAACAATACCCTGGCGATCGTGATGCGCTGACGCTGACCGCCGGAAAGCTTGACGCCCCTGTCGCCGACATGTGCATCGAGCCCTGTTCGACCCTTGCTGTCTTTTTGCTCATCAATGAACTCCAGCGCCTCCGAAGCCTTTGCGACCGCCCGGATTTCGTCATCACCCGCATCCGGCTTGCCATAACGGATGTTGTCCCGGATCGACCTGTTGAGCAGCGAGATGTCCTGTGTGACGACGCCGATCTGACTGCGCAGCGAGGCCTGGGTCACGCTCCGTATGTCCTGTTCGTCAATCGAGATACTGCCGCTCGTTACATCCCGCAAACGCATGAGCAGGGAAATGACCGTCGACTTGCCTGCCCCCGACAGTCCCACCAGTCCGACACGTTCCCCTGGTTCAATGGTCAGATTGAAAGCCTCAAGAATCGGCTTTCGGTCCTTGTGATAGGCAAAGGAAACATCCTCGAAGCTGATCCGCCCCTTTGTCACGTCCAGCGCCGAGGCACCCGACCGATCGGTGATCTCCGGCCGGCTGGTCATGATGGGCATCGCATCCTTGATGGTTCCCAGCGTGCTGGTGATGGACTGGCCGACGCCGATGAATCTCGAAGAAGCTGCCGACAGGGATCTGGTGACCGTCAGTCCTGCAACGAAATCGCCAATCGACACCCACCCGCCGGTCATGCCCCAGAAGCCGATGGCCACGACCGCCAGGATCATCAGCACGTTGAGGAAATAGACACAGCTGTCGGTCAGGATATAGGACCGGTTTTCGCTATGCCTGGTATCGATCGTTTCGCCAATGACCTTGCGGATCGCTCCCGCCTCGGAGTCTTCGGCCGCGAAAAGCTTTACCATCGCGATATTGGAATAGACGTCCGTCATGGCGCCGGTTGCGCGCGAGTTGGCAGCGGCCACCTTGGCAGATCGTTGCATATAGGTCGGGATTGCCAGCCAGGCGACAAGTGAATTGGCCGCTATCCAGACCAGAACGGGTATCGCCAATGGCCATGACAATGCCAACAGCAACAGGAACGAACCGCCGAACTGGATGACAAGATAAGGGATCGTCTCGATCGCAAGCATCATCTGCCGGTGAACCGACATTGTCACCTGGGCAATACGCGAGGCCACCTGCCCGGCAAACGTGTCTTCAAAAAAGGCAAGATCCTGGGCCTCGACGGCCTTGTGCGCCTGCCAGCGCATCGCTGCCGGCAACAGAATGCGCACGGTTTGAAATGCAAATGTCTGGCGCAAAAGAAACGCCAGGGGGTCCACGATCACAAAGAGAACGAAAAAGCCTGCGAGCACCCAGCCATGGCCGCGCAGAAACACCGCTGCTCCTCCCGCGGTAACGCCATCGACCACGTAGGCTATCGCCCAGATGCCGGCGAGCCCAAGCGCGGCGGAAATCATCGCCAGCACCGACACGATCACGAGTTGCCGGCGGAACATCTTGGCAAAATGCCAAACGAGCCGAAGTGGCCCCTGGTCGGGCAGAGGATTCACCGGCAGGTCAAGAGGTTTCAGGTGTTTTTCGAAGGGCCGGAAATACCTGTTAATCAACCCGGCCAACATCGGTCTGGCAATCGCCACGCCTTACACTCCCGAATTCAGCAAACGGAAAACTGCGTCCCCGTGGTCAGGAACAATCCTGCGGTTTGATCCTGTACATGCAACGCCGGTCTCCGGACAAAAGATGTTCGACACGCTCAACGGCGACATCTGGTCCCAGAACATCCCTGAACAGTCTCAGTTCCGAGCGACAAAATCCCTGGCAGGCCGTTGCCGCGGCGCAAATCGAGCAGTGGTTTTCCACCAGAAGAAAACCGTCATCATCCCGGATTACTTCTGCCATATAGCCTTCGCGGCTGCGCAAATCCGCAAGCACCTCGACCCTCTCGGGCAGATCGGCCAGATCGCTCAGGGCCTCTGTATAGGACTGTCGGGTTTTCTCTTCGCGATGCGTGATGAGCTTTTCCAGGCCGTCATCTCCGTAGAGATCGCTAAGGCCGCTCAAAAGACCCACAATCAACGTCGAGTGACTGTCCGGGAATTGCTGATGTCCTGCGGATGTCAGATCCCAGACCCTTTTGGGGCGGCCGACTGACCCCTTCACGTCCTCAAAATCCACCAGGCCGTCCTGGTGCAATCCATCAAGATGCTGCCTCACGGCGACGGACGTGACGCTGAGGTCCTGGGCCAGGTCCGCAGCCGTCTGCGGACCGGCGGACTTCAAGGCATTTAACAGTCGTGTTCGGGTGCGATCAGCCATGAATTCAATATAGGGTCAAACGAACATAAAAAAATAGATCTCTTATCTTATTGTGAACGCTGTCGAAGCGAGATGGTTTGGCAAGACTGACGAGCGAAAGTCCAGCCGCGCCCCCCAAGTTAAAAAGCCTTAAATTGTTAACTGCTTGGCCGATCCATTCGACTGTCTGGATCGCAACGCTCAACCGCTTGAACTCGCATAGCAAGATTCGACCTTAACGAAGCGGACCTTCGAATTCTATCTCGGAGTTCTGTTCGTTTTATCAGCTGTTTTGAAACAACATCATATGCTTGATAATATTGTTGTGCCGATCCACCAATTTCCCGCCCTAACTGTTCTTTTAGTTTCTTCAATATAAAAACAAATAAAGTGGAGGGAATGATGGACAAGATCAGGGCTTTCCTGAGATGGATGATGATCGATCCCCGTCATCCCGAAATCGCTCAGGCTCAATACAACGAGCTGAAAACCCAGATTCCATCGCTCTATGCGCTCCTGATGGTCAATGCGATTGCCGTTGCCTATACGCATTACGATGTTGCGCCGGTTTATCTGACCGTCGGTGTCCTCGTGCCGATGCTTGTGCTGACATCGTTTCGGATGATCGCCTGGTTGCGTGCCAGCCGGATTACGCCGGGGCCGGATGAAGCCATCCGGAAAATGCGCCAGACCGTCGTGCTCGGCAGTCTCATGGCCGTGATCTACATATCGTGGTCACTCAGCCTTGACGGATATGGTGGACCTGAAGAAAGAGGACACGTAGCCCTTTTCATCGCCATTACGGTGATCGGATGCATATTCTGCCTGATGAACCTGCCTCAGGCTGCGCTGGCCGTCATGTTCATCGTAACGGTTCCTTACCTCATCTATTACATGCGGCAGGATCAGGATGTCTATTTTGCCATTGCGATGAATATTTTCCTGGTCTGCCTTGTCGTCCTCCAGGTGCTGATCAGCGGTTACAACGGGTTTTGCAAACTTGTCAGGTCGCAGGCGGATCTCGCCGTCAAACAAAGGGAAACAGAGCAGCTCAACGCGGAAAATGAACGGCTTGCCCAGACCGACGCCCTAACGGATCTGCCAAACCGGCGATATTTCTTCAACCGCGTCGAAGCCCTCATCAAATGCGCGACAGAGTCCAAGCGGGAATTTGCAGTTGGCGTGATCGATCTCGACCGGTTCAAACCTGTGAACGACACCTATGGCCACAAGGCGGGCGACCATCTGTTGATGGCCGTTGGTCATCGATTGAAATCGTTGCAGCTTGAAAATGTTGAAATCTGCCGCCTCGGCGGTGACGAGTTCGGCTTTCTCTTCCTGGGGAACCTGGAGGACGCAGCGAGAACAGGTCAGGAAATCTGCGATCGCGTCAGCGCTCCTTATCGCATCGGAGACATGAATCTGACGGTTGGCGCCTCCTGCGGCATCGCTTCCTACCCGGAAGCAGGCAAGACGGCTCATGCGCTCTTTGATCGCTCGGACTATGCTCTCTACAATTCCAAAACCACATCACGTGGCCACACAACGGTTTATTCGGAAGAGCATGAAGCTCGCATCCGATCCGAACGTGCCATCGAAGGAGCCTTGCAGAACGCGGATTTCGATGCCGAATTTCAGGTCTACTTCCAGCCGGTTGTTTCACTCCCCGCTCGGATCATTGTCGGCTTTGAAGCACTTGCCAGATGGCACAGTCCCGTGCTGGACAAGGTCCCTCCCGACAGGTTCATCGCGGTGGCCGAAAGAACTGGCCAGATCAACAGGCTTACGCTTTCCCTTTTCGACAAGGCACTTCGACAAATCTGCGAACTTCCTGGGGATCTGTGCCTTTCATTCAATCTTTCGGCGCAAGATATCACGTCACCTGAGACTGCACGGACGCTTCTTGAAACGATTGAGCGTCACGGCATCAATCCGAAACTGATCACCTTTGAAATTACCGAAACGTCTGTAATAGGCAGCTACGAGACTGCCAAAACTTGCCTTCAGACGCTCCGCGGCGCCGGCGTAAAGCTTGCGCTCGATGACTTCGGAACCGGCTATTCAAGCCTTGGATACCTGCATCGCTTGCCGATCGACTGCGTCAAGGTGGATCGAAGTTTCGTCGCAGACATACACGACCCGGTCGCAAGCGGCGTCATCACGTCGATCATCAACTTGTGCCGCACAATGGATTTGCTTTGTATCGTGGAAGGCGTGGAGGACAGAAACCAACTCGATCTGTTGTCAGCTCTTCGCTGTAACCTTGTACAGGGATTTCATTTCGCGCAGCCCTTGCCGTTTGACGAGATTGTCGGCAGCGTGCGCGCGAATGGCACTGTCGCCGGTCTCCCGCTGTCCAACACGGACGGGCTGGAAGAACTGAGGCTTACCGGCGCCTGAACTTCGTCAGGCATTAAGCCGGGCCTGAACTCAAGAGCAAAAATTATGACTGGCGGCACAAAACGACAAAAGGAAATGCGCAAGGCATTGCGGGCGTTGCTCCCTCGGGTACCGATGCGCGACGCCGAGGCGATCCTGTCCGTTGCGCTCACCGGCCATTTGCGCCACCTGCCGCCGACAATTGCGCTCTGGCAGGCGACGACAAGTCATATCCGACATGAACTCACCGAGTATGATGCCCTTCTGGAGGAAGGGTATGACAGGGACTCGGCCCGGTTCTTCATTCTCGAACCGATGAACGAGACCCTGCGCGAATGGGGCTGCAACAGGGAAGTTGCCGAGACTTCAGACGAATTCAATTCCTAAGGCCGCTTTGCTACCAGGTCGATCTCGACAAGCGCATCCAACGCCAGCCCGGTAACGCCGATACAGGTACGACCAGGGAGCTTGTCCGGAGGGAAGAACGACAGATAAGTCTGGTTCATTTCCTGATAGTCCCGCTTGAATTCGGTCAGGTAAACTCTTGCGAACACTATATGTTCAAATCCAAGACCAACTCCGGCAAGGACCAGTTTCAGGTTCTCCATCACCCTTGTTGTCTGCGCGGCAATACCTTCCGGCAAAGGCGCTTGCGGTTCGTTCGGAAAGGTAGGCATCTGGCCGGTGACGCAGAGCCAGCCATCGGCCTCTACGGCATGCGAAAACGGGGCAACGGGCTGTGGGGCATTGCCGATCATGTGATGGATAGGTAGCACGATAGTCTCCACGAGATTCAGTCTGGTCATTCGCCAGACTACTCGCTCAACCGCGCGGGTAAATCCATTGTTCGGAAATATGTGCGGTGACAGCTTCTCCCGGCGCGATCACGCCGGGCTTTTCAATGTATCCGACCAGACCGCGCAGTCCTCTTGCCTTTTGCGGAAACAGCAGGTCCAACCCTTCCCTGTCCGGATAATTGGATGCGATCGCTTCTCCCGCAAACCGGCAAGGCAGGTTGTCACCATCGATGCGGATCACTGTACCACTTTCAAAAACCAGCCGGGTACGTGGCGGCAGTCTGGTCAGGTTGGCAATCCCGGACAGCATGATATTGCCGCCAATCCACTCCGGGCGGATTTCATCAAGCTCCATCAGTTCAGCTATCCTGGAGAGTTCAACGCCTGACAGGATTGAAACCTGCCGTTCGTTGCACATCTCAGTGCCGCGCGGATACCAGGGCTCACGGCCTCCGGACTTTCTCGTCATGCCGGCATGCCTGTCACCGGGGATCCCTTCAAAGGTGAGTTCCAGGCTTTCGACAGCAACGGTTTGAAAATCTTCCGGAGCCTCTGTGCTGAAGAGGCCTTCTACCCGTCCGGCCACCCTGAATTTGGGAGTTATCCGGATCTCTTCCTGCAGCAACGATGCTTGATCAGTCATTTCGTCGGTCGACCTTGTCAGAACTTGTACCAATAGCGATCAGGTATCGCCCGCTCCCGGTTCGTCTTCAAGTCATTTTCAATCCCGACGATCAGTCGATCTCCGGGACCTGCCTCTTCAATCGCAGCACGAAATACCGGGTCAACCGGAATGATTTGCACCTTCAAAGAAAATGAAAATTGAAATAAAGCCGTGCATGTTTTGCCTCGCCCTGGAATTCCCGCATAGACAACACCACCACTTTCAAATTGGTATCGGGAGCGAAGCGATAGTGAAATTACCCTGAAGCTGAAATACCTGGCGTACGTTGTCGACGAGAATTCCCGGCACATCACCTGAAAAAAGAAGCCCCGCAGATTGCGGGGCTGTTTGTTGAGTGAAAATCACTGAAGCGGGACGGTGCAAACCATCTGCGTATGTTGTGAATTGATCCAGCAATTTGGCGGAAGTGCCCCGGTCGGGATCGGATAATAATAGTAGGTTGGCTGCTTCGACGCATTGGCGATCGCAGCTCCGGTTGCAACACCGGCCGCATAGGCTCCCGAGTGATAGTAGGGACCATAAGGCGGGTAATAGGGATGGTACGGCGGATAATAAGGATGATAGGGATGATACGGGTGATGCCAGGCCCGGCAACGCGGATCCTGCGGTGCGTGGTAGCAATAGGGACCGTAGGGTTCAAACCCCACTGAACCCGGTGCCGTTGCAGTTGTGTGGCCATGACGATGGTGCGGTTGACGGGCACTGCGGTCAATAAAGAGGGCAACTCCTTTTGCACTCTCAGGCAAGTCACCGCGCAACACCTTGACGCCATAAACAACCGATGATCCCTCCATCTTTGCGGAGGTCAGCTCCACCAAAGCCGGCGCTTTGTCCGTCTTGCTCAGGACGGAGACAACTGCATTGGGCGGGTCACCCTTGAAGCCAGTGTCAGCATCCCAGTATCCCGCAAAATCCGAGTTGGAGATCTGTCCGCCGACCCGGTACGGCCGATCGCTGAAAAACAGCACACCGGTATTGGCATCCGAGAGCGTAAGAGAACTGCCGTCGTAGGACATTTCTCCGGCTTGCTGCACAAAGTCGTATGTTGGCGGCGGTGTCGGGTCGGCGGCGGCCGGTTGTGCGTCCTGCGCCTGAGCCACTCCAATCCCCATCCCGGCCAACAGGCCGGCACCGACAACCATTCGGCGAGTTTTCTTCAAACAGATCATTCTTAAAAATCCTCCTCCCGGGCAAGAGGGAGGCCCGGTCGCTGACAAGTCACTTTCACGCGAGCATCCCGTTCTGATTGTTACACTGAAGACAGTCTGCCTTCCAGATTGCAGCCGGACAATGGCGGTCAGATTAATTAAGTGAAAGGTATGGCTCCAATTTCAGCTGCAGAACATTCTGCAATTCGGATTTCAGGCGACATCCTGCCGGAACCCGTCAAGGCAGCGGATGACCTTTCTGGCGTGGTAGAGCATCGCAACCCAGTCCGTCATGAAACGATCATCGTCCTCGGCGGTTGCCGGTATCGCGGCCTTCCACTCTTCAGCCAGACCCGGCATGGCCTGCTTGCCTTTTCCGTCCAGAACGGCGCCGATTTCATCGTGAATACGCTTGTCCATTGTGGCGACGAGCGTTTTGACGCTAGCGTATTTGTCAGAGTCGGCCAGGACGTTGGCTCTCGCCTGGCGATACAGCGCGATATAGTCCGCCAACAAGACAACAAGCGTATCCAGTTTGCTTGAGGACCTGGTGAAGGACGACCAGGGAGCGCGTTCCGTTCGATAGGTTCTGGCAGTTGCGAGCACTTGGTGGGCAGTGGCCTTCAACCTGGTGTAGTCGGGATCATTCGGCCCGCTATCCGTCTTGAGGTATTCCGAGCAGGCGTTCAGATAAGAGGCCTCCAACCGCTCGACACTATCACCGCTTCTGTTCGGGAAGAGCAGCCAGGCCGCGGCCAGCCCTACAGCCGCACCAATCAGTGTGTCGTAAAGACGGGACCAGAATTCCGCAGTGGGCAACCCGGTCAGCGTCTGGAGCCCGATCAGCACGAGGAAGCTGATGATCCCTGCAGCGATCCCATAGTTGCGTTCAAACAGAACTATTACCGGAGGCAACAGCAGGACGATCAGGGCAACCCGAAGTTCGGGATAGCCTGCCAGCTCCGGCTCCAGAAGAATTGCACACACGAATCCGACCGCGGTGCCCAGCGTGCGCTGCACGGTCTTTTTCATTGTTGCGCCAAGGCTGCCGCAAAGAACAACGATAACCGTGATGGTGACCCAGTAGGCGTGACTCAGGTTGAAATAGATACCGATGCCGTATCCGACACTGGCAGCGACACTTGCCTGAACCGCAAGTCGCCAGGAAATCAGCTGCCACCAGCTTCCCGACTTGACGTCCAGCCCGGTGTCGTCGTCTGCTCTCAGTTGCGCTGTCCCTTCTGCCAGTTTCCAGATCCGCTCGAAAGCCTGCGCAATTCTCAACAGCTGAAACTTGTCGCCCTTTTGAAATCCGACTGCAAGTTCCGCCCAGGCCACGTCAAAGGGTGTTTCGCCGGACGGACTGTCGGACCTCACTACCTTCTCCTGAACCTGACCAACCACTTGCTGATAAGTGGCGTTCGTGATCAATTCCGCCCGGCACTCAGGCGAGAGCGCAGCCGTCGCATCGCGCACGACTTCCAGTGCAAGCTGCATCATCGCCGCCGATTCTAGCGACAGTCCTCGGATAGCCGATCCGGGTTCTGCCAGGTCGATGCTCGTTTCCAGCTCCGAACGCAGACTTGCGATGTCGGAGAGGTTCAGCCGGCGGCGCCTGTCGATCGAAAGCTGTCCGTTTGCTGCAAGCTTCAGGTAATCAGCCATTGCCTGCCGATTTGCCCTTTCGACCCTGCGATACGTCTTTTCGGGTGACGGCCTCCAGAAGCCGATGCGGATCACGAAGGCCAGCACGGCGCCAAAAACCGTCATGGCCGGCAACCAGAATCCCGGCGACCCCGAACCGCTCGACATGATCACGAACAGCCAGTAAATCGACACCATGCGCCCCGTCCGCAACCAGAACGGCCCAAAGCCTTCAAGACCGAATCCGATGGCAATGAAGCCAATCCACATGGCCTGAAGCACGACCTGCGTGTTCTCGCCCGCGATCAGTTCGGACACCATTCCCACGACTGCCAGGCCTGTCATGATCAGCCCAAGCCAAAAAAGGTTGCTGGCCTCCTGCCTGCGGGTCGAAATCGGCGTGAACAAAAGACAATGCGCGCCGGCGGCAGCCGCCAGAACAGAAAGCGTAAAACCCGGAACACCATTGGCGAAAGGCCCTAGCTGGTTGGCCAGCAAACCTGCCGTGACAACCGTGATCATCAGATGCGCCCCGCGCACCAGGCGCAATGCGCCGGGGTCATACCGGACAAAACGGTTCATCGTTCGAAAGATCGGCTGAAGCATCGGTAGAACTTGAATCCCGGAAGCCAATATCCTGACCCTATTGGAGAATTTGATTTGTACCAAGGTTGGCCCGGGCCGATTTCACCGGTCCAGCGCCAGGGCTGCGGCCCACTTGGGATCCCGCCTCAAGCCATCCAGGCAGGTAGTGAGCTTCCGCACGTAATAGAGCATCGCAACCCAGTCGGTCATGAGTTGTTCTCCTCTCCCGCCGGCTACTGGTATCATGGACTTCCATTCTTCAACCAGACCGGGAACGGTCTGTTTCTCCCTGCCGTCCAGAACTGCCTCGAATTCATCATGCATCCGCTTGTCCATTTTGGCGATGATCGGCGAGAGCGGTGGCTCGAAGTCGTATTTTGCGGTCTCTGCCACGACGGTCATCCGCGACTGGCGATAGAGAACAACATAATCGGCAAGAACCAGAACCATGATATCAAGCTCATCGTAGGAATTCGCGAAGGAAGCCCAGGGCGATTGTTCCACGCGATAGTCCTGCGCGGCAGATACCAGGTTGTTCGCCGCTGACTTCAGTTTGGCATATTCCTTCTTTTGCTCCGCTTCGGTCCGATTCTCCACTTTCAGGTATTTGTAACAGGCGGTGATATAGTCGACTGCCAGTGCGTGAACGTTTTCAGCGCTTTTCCGCGGCAACAGCAGCCTGGCCGCGGCCAGGCCTGCGGCGGCTCCGATCAGCGTGTCGTAAAGGCGTGGCCAGAACTGAGCGACCGGCATTCCCGTGAGCGCCTGAAGTCCAATCAACACGACAAAGCTTATGATTCCGGATGCAATGCCGTAATTCCGTTCCAGAAAGACAACAATCGGTGGCAGCAACAGGATGATCAGCACCAGCCGGATTTCCGGAAACTGCGCGAGAACGGGCTCCACGGCCAAGGCAATTGACACACCAATTGCGGTCCCCACAGTCCGAGAAACCGTTTTTTTGACGGTCGCCCCAAGACTGGCACACATGACGACGACGACCGTGACCGTGATCCAATAGACGTGACTCAGGTTGAAATAGACACCCAATCCATAACAGGTCGCGGCGGCGGCACTGGCTTGAAGCGCCAATTCCCACGAAATTTTTCGCCACCATCGCGACTGCACCGAACTGCCGGCAGCATTCGGTCCAGGCCGTATGTTTTCGGTCGACCGGGACAACTGCCACAGTCTTTGAAACGCTTGCACGATGCGAAGAAGATGGAACTGATCATCGGTTGAAACATCCGCAAGCGAACGGGACCAAACGTTGTCCAGGCCCGGTTTTGCCGTGACCTGTTCCCCTGTCTCAAGGGTGCCTATCAAGTCCCGAACGGTGTCCCGGTAGGATGTCCCTTCAGTCAACTGGGCACGGCATTGATCCGAAAGGGCCGAGACTGCTTCCCTGACAACTTCCAGTGCGAGCTGCATCATGGCAGCGGCTTCCGGCGACAACGCCCTCAAATCGTTTTTGGGACCGATCAACTGGATGCAGGTTTCCAGCTCGGTCCGAAGAACGGCAAGCCGCGCGAGGTTCTTCTTGCGCAAACCGGCACTGTTCAGGCTGCCCAGAGCAGCAAGTTGAAGATACTCTGCAATGACTTTCCGATTGGTCTTTTCCACACGCATCAAGGTTTTCGTCGGCGACGGCCGCCACAGGCAGATGCGGAAGAAAAATGCGACTGCAGTTCCCAATGCGCCCATGGCTGGTAGCCAGATACCGGGTGCGACGGGTTGGCTGGCAACGACGACAAAGATCCAGAAAATTGCCAGCATCCGCCCTGCCCTGAGCCAGAACGGCCCAAGCCCATCCATGCCGAAGCCGACCGCGATCACGCCAATCCAAAGAACCTGAAGAACCGGGATGGCCGTTTCCTGAAACAACGTGATGATCACGGCACCGATTGCAAAACTTACCGTCAATATGACGCCGAGCCAGAAAATGTCGGATGTTTCCTGCCTTCTGGTCGATACAGGTGTGAACACGAGTATGCCGGCTCCCGCTCCGGCCGCGAGCACGGCAAGATCAAAACCGGAGACGGGAGACTGAAAAAGACGAGCCAGTTGCATCGCCAACAGCGAAGCGGCAACGATCGTCAAGGTCATGTCTATGCCGCGCATCAGTCGCAACGCGCCGGGGTCGTAGCGACCGAGGCCGGTTAGCGAACGCGCTATCAGCTGAAGCGTCGGCATAACTTGAAGCAATCCCTGAACTCTTCGATCAATCGCCAATGGGCCCGGATGCAGAACAAGAACGCATTGCCCGGGGAAACCGGTACAGAATGCAACCGGAAGGCATCCTTCGTAAAGAGACGGCAGGCAAACAAAAAAGGCGGCCCGCATGGCCGCCTTTCGTCACTTCGTCTATTTGCCGCTCAGCGTGTCAGCGGCTTGTACTTGATCCTGCGCGGGTCGGCAGCATGGGCGCCAAGGCGGCGGACCTTGTCTTTTTCATAATCTTCGAAGTTGCCTTCGAACCACTCCACATGGCTGTCACCTTCGAAGGCAAGCATGTGCGTGGCCAGACGGTCGAGGAACATACGATCGTGCGAAATCACCACGGCGCAGCCGGCGTAGTTCTCCAGTGCGTCTTCGAGCGCGGCCAGCGTTTCGGTGTCGAGGTCGTTGGTCGGCTCATCGAGCAGCAGCACGTTGGCGCCCTTCTTCAGGACTTTCGCCAGATGCACGCGGTTGCGCTGACCTCCGGAGAGGTCGCCGACTTTTGCCTGCTGAGCAGGGCCCTTGAAGTTGAAGGACGAGCAATAGGCGCGGGAGTTGATTTCCTTGTCATCAAGGTAGATCACCTCAGCACCACCGGAAATTTCTTCCCAGACAGTGTTGGTCGGGTTGAGCGCATCGCGCGACTGATCAACATAACCCAGTTGCACGCTGTCACCGATATTGACGGCACCTTTGTCCGGCTTGTCCTGACCGGTCAGCATCTTGAAAAGCGTCGATTTGCCTGCCCCGTTCGGGCCGATCACACCGACAATGCCGCCGCGCGGCAGTTTGAAGGACAGGTCATCGATCAGCAGACGGTCTTCAAAGCCCTTCGAAACACCGTCAACCTCGATGACATTCGCGCCAAGGCGCTCACCAACGGGGATGAGGATCTGTTCAATCGACGGCTGCCGCTCTTCCTGAGCGGAAAGAAGGTCATCAAAGGCCCGGATACGGGCTTTCGACTTGGTCTGGCGGCCTTTCGGGCTCATGCCCATCCACTCGCGCTCACGAGCAATCGCCCTGGAGCGGGCCATGTTCTCGCGGCCTTCCTGCGTCATACGCTTGGTCTTCTTTTCCAGATAGACCGAGTAGTTGCCTTCGTAGGGTATGCCCTGCCCGCGGTCGAGTTCCAGGATCCAGCCGGTGACGTTGTCGAGGAAGTAGCGATCGTGGGTGATGATCAGGACGGAACCCTTGAATTCCCGCAGATGACGTTCCAGCCAATGGACGGTTTCGGCGTCCAGATGGTTGGTCGGTTCATCAAGCAGCAACAGGTCCGGTTCGGACAGCAGCAACTGGCAGAGCGCAACTCGGCGACGCTCACCGCCAGACAGGTTTTCAACGGAAGCGTCGGACGGCGGGCAGCGCAAGGCTTCCATCGCCATTTCCACCTGGCTTTCCAGGTTCCACAGGTCCTTGGCGTCGATCTCGTCCTGAAGATGGGAAGCTTCATCGGCGGTCTCGTCCGAGTAGTTCATCATCAGTTCGTTGTAGCGGTCGATCTTCGCCTGTTTGTGGGCGACACCATCCATGACGTTTTCCATCACGGTCTTGGTTTCGTCCAGCTTTGGCTCCTGCGGCAGATAGCCGACCTTGGCGCCTTCGGCAGCCCAGGCCTCACCGGAATACTCCTTGTCGAGACCGGCCATGATCTTCAGAAGCGTCGACTTGCCCGCCCCGTTCGGACCCAGGATACCGATCTTGGCATCCGGGTAGAAAGAGAGGTGGATATTGTCGAGGACTTTCTTGTCGTTATAGGCCTTTGAGAGGCCGTGCATATGATAGATGAACTGGCGCGCCATGGGGCTCCGCTTCTCCACTTTCGAAAACTGACGGGAATCTCTGGAATTCTGCCGCGTCTTTTAGGGGAAATGAGCGCCGGGGGCAATGGGGAGAATGCAGCTGGAAACCAGCCGGCCCCATGCGCGCACTCCATGACGAACAACATTCGTCTCTCAGGTGTTCAATGAGGCAGCCCAGCGAATGCTTGCGACATCCGTATCAAGACACGGCGGCGCAGTGCGTCCGGGTCGACTTCTTCCGCAAATCTAAATCGCGCTCCGGACATCCAAAGCGCCGTCTGCACCGGACAACCTCGCTTCGACTAAAAACAACACCCAGTAAATATACGCACTGGTTGTGGTAACAATCATAAATGTGAACAATTTTATACTGTCAATACAACCTAACTTCAACTTAATTAAGTCGTTTTAAAATATACAAAATTCAATTTCCTTACGCATCAAAAACTGCGCTGGTGATTTTCGGAAAAACCGTAATTTTTTATTTACGCATACATTCAACACTACCCAGAGTTTAAATCTCGTGGAGCGTTGAAATGGTTGTACGCAACGGCATTCGATTTTCAGTTGCCGCAAAGGTACTTACGATAGTTCTCGTTCTCAGTCTGGTAATCGTTGCGCAATCCGTATTCAGTGTCACGCAGCTCAACAAGATCGGCAAGGAACTTGAGACCATCGCGGAATCCGACATTCCGTTGACCGAAGTGCTGAGCCGGATCACCTCACACCAGCTTGAACAATCTGTCCTCTTTGAACGGATCCTGCGTCTCAACGGGCTCGCTGCCGGTGACCTGGAACTGCAACGCAAAGCGGCGCAAAAAAAGTTCAAGGAATACGCTGCGCTTGTCGACGAAGAAATTCTGGAAGGCGAACGAATTGCCGAAGAAGCCCTGAAACACGCCTACGATCAAAAAACGCTCGACGAAATTCAACGTGTCCTGGACGCATTGAAAACGATCGAACTCGATCACAAAAGCTACGATCTTCATGCCGAACAGATTATCGCATATGTCGACAGCAACGAAACCGAAAAGGCGCTTGATCTCCTGCACGAGGTCGAGCAGGAAGAGGCAAATCTCAACAATGAACTGGTCGCCCTGCTGCATGAAATCGAGACCTTCACCCTCGAGGCGACGTTGGCGGCCGAACAACACGAGAAAGAAACCGTTCGCATCCTGATCGTTGTTGCGATTGTTTCCACGTTGCTTGGAATTCTCATATCCGCGGCACTCGCCCGGCTGACCGTCACGCGCCCGTTGCGCCGTGTCTCAGGTGCGCTCCATCAGCTTGCCGACAATGATCTTTCAGCCACGGTTGCAGTCAAGGGCAATGACGAGATCGCCGACCTCGCGGAGGCCTTCGAAACATTCAAGGCCAAGCTGATCCTGATGCGAAAGCTCGAGACCGACCGCAAGGAATCGGAACGCGAGAACATCCGCCAGCGGCGGGAAACGCTATCGCTCATGGCGACCGAAGTTCGCGACAAGACCGACCAGGGCATCTCGACAATCGCAAACAGCGCCGATGAGGTCGAGGTCCAGTCCAACGGCATGCGGTCGGCGCTGGAACGGGCAAGCAGCAGGATTGACGGTCTGCTTTCGCAGGCGAAGGAAACCCATCAGCGCTCGATCGAGGCCGGCGAGCTTTCCGAAGGCTTGCTTTCGGCGATCAGCGAAGTTGCCGAAAAGACGGAAAAAACCAACGAACTGACAACGGAAGCTGTCACGCTGTCGTCGTCTTCACACGAAACGATCGGCGAACTCGCGGCGGCTGCGGAGAATATTGGGCAATTCGTGTCGGTCATCAGCGACATTGCCGAAAAGACGAACCTTCTCGCGCTGAATGCCACGATCGAGGCAGCCCGTGCGGGCGATGCAGGCCGGGGATTTGCCGTTGTCGCCGCGGAAGTCAAGGAACTGGCCGAACAGACCAACCGGTCCACAGAACAGATTTCCGAACAGGTCGTCACCATTCAGAGCAAGACAGGCGCGGCCGTTTCCTCAATCGACCAGATCATCGAGAGCATCGGCCGCCTGAGCGAAATGGCGGCGTCCGTTGCCTCCGCCACCGAAGAGCAACGTGTGACCACCGAGAATTTCGGCCAGATCGTCAACGAATCCGGCCAGGCGGTCGGTGGCATCACAGAGGGCATGTCGGAGGTCTCCCGGATCGCGCAGGAAACCCTGTCAATCGCCAACACCATGAGCGAGAAAACAAGTTCCATGGCCCTGGCTGCGCAGGACATGCGCGAGGAGATCCCTGCCATCATCCAGTCGTCGCTCGACGAAACGGAGCGCCGCTCGGCACCGCGCACCGATGTCAACGAAACCATCGAGGCAACAGACGAAACTGGTGACTTTGACGCAGTGCTTCTGGATCTTTCCGACAAGGGATGCCGCATCAGCGATCCGGGAAGAGAGCTGAAAGGAAATGTCGAGATCAATGTCCCGGGTGAAGGCTGGGTCTCGCACATGGTCGTGTGGACCGAAATGGACAAGGTCGGACTGACAAGGATATGAGGCAATCTGTTATCAGGTGCAACCGGCCGGAATGCGTGAGACTGCTACCGCCGCCGACCGCAACATCCTGATGATTGAGTAAAGATCTGGCGACCGGTTGCCCTTCCCTGCCACACCCAGACTCCAAACGGGCACACCGCGGCTGCAATCCATTTCATGTGAAATAGCTGAAACCTCTTGCTACCGATACGTGTTGACATGCGAAATCACCCGGAAACAATGGCAGCCTCGCCAGTTCTATATTCGATCAAAGGATGTGGTTACGAATGATCGGCACAATTCCCAGAAGACTTTTTCTGATCGTTTCCGTCTTCGCTTTTCTGGCGACCGGTGCAAGGGCGTTCGAGATTGAAAAGACGGAGTTCGTTGTCGGTCTCTCCGATGGCAACTATGACCCGGTCTACCTGCCTTCGGACGTGGTTCCTCTCTGGCCTGACAGGGCCTGCTTCGGCTGGCGCATCAAGATCTCGGGCGACGAAAAACTCGTCTTTACCAGGGAAATACTCAAGCTCCCGGAGCAGCCTGAATATTGGTCCGGCGAAGATGACAAGTACAGTACCTCGCAAATCTCCGAAGACCGTACCACGGCAATCACCGATGAATATCTGCCGGTCGTCGACGGATGGGTCGAGAACTACTGGTGCGTTTCCGAAGGTGACCCGATTGGTGATTGTCTCCTTGAGGTCTATTTCGGTGATGTGCCGGCCGGCAGATTTGAGTTCGAGATCGTTTCCGCGGATTGATCAACTGACCCGTCAGAAGACAAAACAAGACAACATCCAGTTATCCTTCCGGCAGTGAATGCAGCCAGCCAGGCTCCCTCACAAAGTTGCCACGGTTTTCTCGATTGACGGTCAATCCAGTTCGCGCTTCAAGTGTCTCCGGCGTATTCACGTCCCACGCGAGCCCGAGTCTCTCCAGACCAGTAACCAGCCACCAGCCTATGTCGGTTTGGCCCGGCAGGAAACCGAGTTTGGCTGACGCCGGAAAGGCATGATGATTTTCGTGAAAGGCTTCACCGAATGTCACGAAACCAAAGTGTGGCAGATTGTAGCCCTGAACGCAGGCGCCTTTGACAAAAAGCAGATGATCCTTCGGCTGATGCGCATAGTAGCCGACGAGCCAGTGACCGATCAGCGACACGGAAACCCTGCAGCAAATGCCCCAGACAACAAACGGCAGACCGCCCAAGAGATAAAGCGGTACGGCGATAACAAGTTGCTGTGCCATCCAGAACTTTTCAACCTGCCGATAAAACGGATCTTCGGCAATTTCCGACTCAATCTCAAAACGCGGCTCCTGCTTCAGATCAATACCGCAGCACAGCTGCCAGTAAGCGTCTTTCCAGAAGCCTGCACGGTGCGCGAAGAAGTCATGGCAGTCGACCTGACGCTGCCCCCAGTCACGGAAGTCATGCAGGCGGATCATTCCGAAGGGGCCGGCCATGCCGACCAGAACGCCTAGATAAACAAGAAACTTTTCAATCCACGGCAACGTTTTGAAGGACCGGTGGATCAACAGCCGGTGCATACCCACCGAATGCCCGCCACAAATAGTGAGAGCGGTCAGCGCGACAAAGACACCAAATGCAGCCCAGGAGAATGTCAGCGGCCCGCCGATCAGAGCGACGGCTGTCATACTGACGATCCAGGCCATCTTCGCGGGTTTCAGAACGACTGTCCCGTGAACCGGATTGGCACCGCCATCGGATGACACGCGCTCCGTTGAAACAGGCTTCGGACTTTCCTCACAGTTTCCAGACATGGTTTTCCTCTCCTTCACCCGCCTGTAGGCAGGTGTGGTCGTGTTCCGGGGATCTGCCCGGAAGCATCAATTCTTTGTAAATCGGCCTGCTGCAACCAGTAGGCACTTGCCTCGGGAAAGGACGTCCACTATTTAGGCAGTAAGCTAATTACCACTTATTATATAATTAGGCAATTACCTAATTAAAATATGATGAACGCGTTCGAACGGGAGTTCCAGACCGAAATGAATGACCAATCCGACACGCTGAATGCTGCAGAAACCGGTGGCATTCAGAAGGTTTTCGAAGCTCTTTCGTCTGCTCCCCGACGCAAGATCCTCGCCTACCTGGCACATAGCTCTCTGACCGCCGGTGAAATCGCGGACCGTTTCGACATGTCGAAACCGTCTATTTCCCAACACCTCAATGTGCTTGAAGGTGCCGGTCTGGTGCAGAAAGAAAAACGCGGGCAATACGTTCACTACTCGATTGTGCAGGAAAGTCTGGCCAACACGCTTAATAGCTATGTGCAGGAAGTCTGTCCCGTGTCGCGTCCGCTCAAGAAGGAAAGCGCAACAATCGCAAAAACGCAGGATGAGAACCGAGATTGAACCCTTGACTTTGATGGTTCGCGCTTCGTGTGGGGGATGACCATCGATCAGGTGCTTTTCCTCTTCCCCTTGACGCCAATTCTTGTAATCTGCCGGCATTGCCGTTCGCGCTATCGACATCTCCCCTTCCCGGATCGCCTTCATGCCAAAACCAGACATTCTCGTAACCAAACCGATGCTGCCTATCGTCGAGCAACAGCTGGATGCGGAGTTCACCGTTCACCGGCTTTACGACGCCGAGGACGAACAGGCGATGCTGGCGGAGGTTGGCGATCGGATCCGGGGCGTTGCACTGTCGTGGTGGCAGGTGAACGAGGCTTTCCTGAAACAGCTCCCGAATGCCGAGATCGTTGCCAGTTTCGGTGTCGGCTACGACCACGTGGATACCGACGCCTGCCTGGCAGCGAATGTGATGGTGACCCACACGCCGGATGTCCTGTCAGAAGAAGTCGCGGACACGGCAATCGGCCTGCTGCTCATGACCGTGCGCGAGCTTGGACAGGCGGAACGGTGGCTGAGAGACGGCAACTGGGCAGAAAACGGCGCCTACCCGCTCACCCAGGCAACCATGCAAGGCCGCACACTCGGCATTTTCGGTCTCGGGCGTATCGGCAAGTCGATCGCGCGGCGCGCGGAAAGTTTCGGCCTCAAGGTCGCGTATCATGGCCGCTCCCGCCAGGACGGTGTCGATTATCCCTTTCACGCCAGCCTCGTGGCGCTTGCAGCGGCCTGTGACACCATGATGGTGGTGGCACCGGGAACTCCTGAAACGAGGCACGCCGTCAACGCAGAGGTCCTGAAGGCCCTCGGACCGACAGGTATCGTCATCAATATCGGCAGAGGTTCGGTAATCGACGAGACAGCCCTTACAGAAGCGCTCGAGAAGGGCACGATATATGGCGCAGGTCTCGATGTCTTCGAAGAAGAGCCCTGCCGGCCTGAACGCCTCATGAAACTGCCGCGTGTTACCCTGCTGCCCCATGTCGGATCAGCCTCGCAGGCAACCCGCAATGCCATGGGACAACTCGTCGTCGACAATCTGAAAAGCTGGTTTTCCACCGGACGTCCGCTCACTGCGGTGCCCGAGTTGAAACAAAAATGACGCCCCCTTGTCTCTCAAGATGATCGGCGCACGCAAGCGCGCCGATTTTGCTTCATTCTTCCACCGGTATCCACCTGCGCATTTCGCTCCAGGCTATTGACTGACCCGGGCAGGACAACCAAACGGCAAAAACGTACTTCCCATGTTTGCGCTGATCGTCATCATCGTGAGAAGATTGACGAATTCAAAGTCCGGTCCGGATACCGGACATGCCCTGAGATTGGGCAGACATCCGGCCTTCACGAACTCAAGGTTTTTTTCCATCAGATCCGATGTCAGTCCCTTTGTTCCGACCCGGACTTCGGCCTCGGCAACCATCTCCTGATAGCGGGCGCAATTCTCCTTGCGCCTGTCTTCTCTCTCATTTGCCCGTGCATGTTCAACCGCAACGGCATTGAACAGGACAAGCGCAACAAAGATTGCCGGCAGGCACGCAAGGCAGTTCTGTTGACTTGTCATTGTCTTCCGCTTTTCGAAACGGCCGGCCCGGGTCTCTGCTGGATACCCGATCATGGCTGAAGAGCAGCCGGGAGCGCTTGCGCGATGCCGGCGATGGCTTTGTTGCGGGCCTCGAATGCCGCAGTTGTCTGAGTGATATAGATTGCGATCACCAGCGGTTTGCGACCTTCGGGCCAGATAACGGCAATGTTGTTGCGCGACCCGTTGGCGCCTGCGCCTGTCTTGTCGGCGATGCGCCAGCCTTCGGGCAACCCGGCGCGTAGCGTGCTATTTCCAACCTTGTTGCCTTCGAGCCAGCCCGTGAGCTTGGCTCTGGCATCTGCCGCCAGGGTCTCGTCAAGAACAAGCTTCCTCAGCGTTTCAGCCGCCGCATCTGGTGTCGTTGTGTCCCTGTCATCGCCGGGGATACCGGTGTTCGACTCCGGTTCCCAGCGATCCACGCGGGAGATGTCGTCTCCGATGCCTCTGAGGAAGGCTGTCACGCCCTCGGGCCCGCCGACCTCTTTCATGACGATGTTTGCCGCAGCATTGTCGCTTATGGTGACCGTGACCCTGCAAAGGTCCTCAATCGTGAAGCCTGCACCGCCGACCCGTTTTGCGGTGACGGGTGAATAAGAAACGATATCGCTTTCCTCCACCACTACCTCGCGGCCCGCGTCAACAGTCCCGTTTGAGGCTGCATCCAGCAAGGCGGCACACAGAAAAGCCTTGAAAGTGCTGTTCATCGGAAACCGTTCGTCACCTTTATGCGACCAGGTTTTTCCCGATTCAGTATCAATGATCGAAACACCAACCCTTGCCGACAGGCGAGTCTCGATGTCCTCGATCGCCTTGGCAACGGGACGAGGATTGAATTCGGCCGCCTGAGCTGACCCCAGTGTCAAAAATGGAAGGAGAATGCCTACGAAGGCACTCTTGTGGATGCTCAATGTCATCATGGTCTCCAGGAAATTAGATATATTGCCCGCTACATCCCGCCCCCGTGAGGACTGCAACTGGTCCAACAGACATTGCGCTTGCCATTTGCATAAGACAAATGATGAATGGTGGTATCAGACATGAGAAAAACTAGGCCATAAGCCCGTGGACATATCCAGGATACCACTCAACGCCCTTCGCGCTTTCGAGGCTTCTGCAAGGCTGCAGAGTTTCACGAGGGCCGGGCTGGAACTACGCGTTTCCCAGACGGCCGTAAGCCACCAGGTGAAGGCACTTGAAGAAACACTGCAGGTGTCGCTGTTCAAGCGGCAACCCCGCGGTGTCACGCTGACAGATGAAGGCCAGGCACTGCTTCCCGTGCTTTCCGATGCCTTTCGCCGCATGAGCGAAGCGCTCAGCCGGTTCGAGGATGGCAACTTTCGGGACGTTCTGACCGTCGGCGTGGTGAGCAGCTTTGCCACCGGCTGGCTTCTGCCGCGACTGCAGGATTTTTCCAAGTCGCATCCGCAGGTCGATATCCGCCTCAAGACAAACAACAACCGTGCCGACCTGCTAACGGATGGGCTGGACTGCTTCATCCGTTTCGGTGATGGCGCCTGGCACGGAACGGAAGCCGTAAGCCTGTTTGCTGCCAAGCTGTATCCGGTCTGCTCACCGGGAGTTGCGGACCGTATTGGAGAACCTGCTGATCTTCTGCGCGAAAACTTGCTTCGGTCCTACAGGTTGAATGAATGGACACTGTGGTTTCAGGCAGCAGCCCTTGCTCCACCAAGGAGCCGCGGCTGGATCTTCGATTCATCGCTTTCCATCGTTGAGGCGGTATCGCAGGGAGCCGGGATAGGTCTTGTTCCCGCCCGCCTTTTTGAACGGGACCTCGGGGCCGGACGGATCGTGCAACCATTCAAAACCGGCGTTGAGACCGGGAGCTATTGGCTAACCTGGTTGAAGTCACGCGAGGAAACCGGTGCAATGCGTATCTTCCGCGAATGGATCACCGGGATTGCAGCTTCCGAAAAATAGACCGGATCAACTCTTGCGTCCGACGACCATCTCGCGTTTCCCCGCAAAACCCGCTTTCTTTTCGATGGCAAATCCGGCCGAATGCAGATTGCGGCGAACCCAGCCTGCAGCCGTGTAGGATGCGAGTGTACCGTCCCACGCGGTCAGTGTCGCGGCACTCGCCAGAAGGTCCGCATCCCAGAGTTCAGGATTTTTCGCGGGACTGAAACCATCCAGATACCAGGCATCGACGGGTGCGATGACCGTTCCATCCACCGGCACTTGTCCGCTTTCAACGACAAGATCTGCAATCAAATCTCTTGCATCGCCAATCCCGAGCAGAAGATCTGCCTTTGAGACCGTCATCCGGTTCCAGCCCGGTTTCGGTGCCCATTTCGAGATCAATTCCGCCGAAGTTTCAGCAAGCACCGGAAACGCGGCAAGGGCCCGTTCCAACTGACCGGCCGTCATCGGAAAGAGTTCAAACGAGATGAAATGAAGTCCGGGGGGCCTGCTCATGCCGGCGAGCGTTGCAAGCGTTGTCAGGAAGTTGAGACCGGTTCCGAAGCCGAATTCTGCGATGGTGAAAGCCTGACGCCCCTCAAACCGCTCCGGCAAGCCGTTGCCGTTCAAGAAGACGTGGCGGGTCTCTTCCATGCCCCCGGCCCTGGAAAAATAGGTGTCGTCAAAACCCCGGGCCAGCGGCACCTCGCCCTCCAGCCATTTCAGGTCCGGTGCACCTGAAAGCTCCCTGGACGTGTCTTTCTGTTTGGGGTCTTGCGCCGTCATCTTTCCAAGTGCCTTATTTCCTTTGCCAAGCGTGCCGTGTTCTCATATGAGAGCCGGTCTAGGCAATCAATCCCAGGAAGCCCTCCGACATGGCGTCACCGTCTGCCGCCCCATTCGATATTGCCATTGCCGGCGCCGGAATTTTTGGCCTTGCCGTTGCCTGTCAGGCGATCAGGGCAGGCCTGCGCACCGTCGTGCTGGAAACCGAGCGTGTCGGCGCCGGATCGAGTGGCGGATTTCTCGGCGCCCTGATGCCGCATATGCCGGCGCGGTGGAACCCTAAAAAGGAATTTCAGTTTCAGGCACTTCTCTCGCTGGAAAACCATATTCAAGCGCTGGAAGCAGACACCGGTCTCAATTGTGGTTACAAGCGCTGCGGTCGCATTCTGCCGCTGACGACAACGGACAAGCTTGAGCATCATCTGGAACGTGCCGAAGAAAGCAAATTGCGCTGGCACCCGGACGAAACCGGCTTTTCGTATGCGGTTGAGCCTGCGGGGAGCCGGTCCGACTGGCTGAACGGTGCAGCGGCACCCTATGGCATCGTTTATGAGACGCTGGCAGCACGTGTCTCCCCGCGAAGATATCTATCGGCTCTTGCAGCATATGCCAAACAGCGCGGAGAATTGCGCGAAGGCGCAAGGGTCGTCGGTTTCGAAGACAAGTCAGGCGAAGTGCTTGTTGAGGGGCAAGCTTCTCTATCCGCCAAACGTCTCGTTATCTGCGGAGGTTTTGCGGCATTCGACCTGATTGAACAGTTTACCGGTGAAAAAATCGGACGCGGGGAAAAGGGTCAGGCGCTGCTGCTCGACGGCGGGGGCCTTGAGGACAAACCCGCGATCTACTGCGACGGGCTCTATGTTGTTCCGCATGGCGACGGAACTGTCGCCATCGGCAGCACGTCCGACCGGACATATGAAGATGCGTTCCCCTCACCGGCGCGTACGTCCGAGCTGATCGAACGAGCAACAAGTTTTTGTCCTTCACTGAAAGGTCGGGAGGTTCTGACCGATTGGGCCGGCATCAGGCCACGGTGCAACAAGCGCGATCCGATGGTGGGAAGACTTCCCGGCTTTGACGCAGTTTACGCTGCTACAGGCGGCTACAAGATCTCGTTCGGCATCGCGCATCTTGTCGCCGATTGCCTGGTCTCCGAATTTGCGCAAGGCAAACCTCAGCACGAACTGCCGCAGACATTTCGGCCAACACACCACTTCGGTGCAAATCATCTAAAGGACGACAACTGGAGAAAAGGCTAACCCATCAGTGTTGATGCGATCCGGGTTAGAACCCGCATTTTCGATTTTGATCTCAGGGGATGACGAACGCTGAATTACGGTCAGAGGAAAGTGGTGACCGCATAGAGCCAGTAGAGGCTGAGCGAAACGGAGCCCCAGAACAGAAGATTTTTCGCCACAAGAAACGAGAGGGTTGCAACCGTACCGCGATGTTTCGACAGCGCAGCAGGTTCGCTTCTTCCCAAATCCGGGTTACGAACTTCCCTGACGGCTGTCATGGCTCTGGCCATACTGGCGATCCTCGAAACTTTTGCGCGGTCTAGCGCAGGAACATTATTCTCCGGTACCTTATTAATAAACATTACGGAGCAAGTGTTTAACTCACGTTTAAATTCAGTATGAATGCATTCTTAATTTTCGATAGGATAAAATTAAAAATATACACAACTTGTTTGCGTATCTGTTGATTGTTTTAATAAACATTCAGTGTCAAAATTTACGATCTCTTCAACAACATTGGAAATCTACTCTCTCATGAGCCTAGAAAGTGTACGCGACCATTTTGCCAATGCGGCACCCGAGCTCGAAATCATCCTGACGGACGAGAGCAGCGCAACAGTGATCCTCGCCGCAGCGGCGCATGGCGTGTCTCCCGGCCAGATTGCAAAGACATTGTCATTTCAGTTGAAGGACAGGGTCATTCTGGTTGTTGCCCGTGGCGATGCTCGCCTGGACAACAAGAAGGCCAAGGCGGCTTTCGGCGGAAAGGTGAAAATGCTTGGTCTCGAAGAAGTCGAAAAACTCACGGGACATCCGGTGGGCGGGGTCTGCCCGTTCGGACTTGCCCAACCGCTGCAAGTCTATTGCGATATCTCGCTGAAGGATTTCGAAATAGTAATCCCGGCAGCTGGAGCCACGAATGCCGCGGTCAGAATTGCACCGGACCGCATGGCCGAAATTACCGACGCGGAATGGGTCGACGTGTGCCAGCCTCCGGCAAACGGAAGCTGATGATCAGACCTGATAGTAGTCACGATACCAGGCGACAAATTTGGCGATGCCGTCCCTGACGGACGTTCTGGGCGTATAGCCTGTGAGCTTGCGCAACAGATCAGCATTCGCCCAGGTTGCCACGACATCACCGGGCTGCATCGGCATCAGATTGCGTTCCGCCTTCTTCCCGATCGCCGCCTCGATTGCGTCGATGAACTCCGTCAGTTGCACGCTTGTGGAGTTGCCTATGTTGACGACCCGCCAGGGCGCAACCGGTGACAGGCTGTCGCCCTCGGGAACCTCTTCACCGTCAGCGGGACGCACAGGGACGGCATCCATCAACAGCCGGATCCCCTCGACAAGGTCCTCGACATAGGTGAAGTCCCGTTTCATGTCGCCAAAGTTATAGACGTCGATCGGCCGCCCTTCGAGGATGGCCTTTGCGAACTTGTGGTGCGCCATGTCCGGTCGCGCCCAGGGGCCATAAACGGTAAAGAAGCGGAACATCGTGATCGGCAGATCGTAGAGATGGGCATAGGAATGCGCCATCGACTCGGTCGCCTTCTTGGTCGCGGCGTAGAACGACACCTGATGGTCGGCCTTGTCCGTCTCCGTATATGGCATGTTCTCATTCGCACCATAAGCGGACGATGTTGACGCCAGCAGCATATGTTCAGGTGGAAAGGCCCGCGCGGCCTCGAGAAGCTCGAACGTGCCGCCGATGTTGCTTTCAAGGTATGAACGCGGATTTTCAATCGAGTAACGGACACCTGCCTGTGCCGCAAGGTGGATGACAAAATCCGGCTTTTCCGTCCGGAACAGGGTCATCAGGAGGTCCGATGCCTCGATCCTGTCGTTGATCGCCTGAAAGTGCTCGTGCTGCAGGAGCATCTGCTGCCTGCGTTCCTTCAGCCGGACATCATAGTAATCCGTCATCGCGTCAAGGCCGATGACCCTGAACCCGTCCTTCAAAAGACGCGTGCACAGGAAATAGCCGATAAACCCCGAGGAGCCGGTCACCAGTACGGTTTTCATTTGCGCCCGTCGTCCCTTCGCCGAAACGGAATAGTCGATGGCGTCTTAAAGTGCTTCTTGTTCCCGGGCAACGGCAAAGTCCGTTTGGGGCTGCTTCCGCCGGGGCCCAAAGACCCGTCCGGCCGCGTGTTGTGCCCCAAGCAAACGGCGCGGCCCCCATTTTGCGGAGGCCGCGCCGTTCAATTTTCAGCCCGCGGGACAGACATTCCCTTTGCTCAGCTTCCCAGGAAACCCCGCTCGCGCAGATAGGCGATCACTTCCTCGGCAATGTCCTCCGGTTCCCGGTCAACATTTTTCAGGTGAACTTCAGGGGTTTGCGGCGCTTCATAAGGACTGTCGATCCCGGTGAAATTCTTGATCTCACCACGATCCGCCTTCGCATAAAGGCCCTTGGGGTCACGCTGGCGACAGATTTCGATCGGCGTATCGACAAAGACTTCGATGAATTCGCCCTCTCCCATCAGGTCCCTGGCCAGTTGCCGTTCGGACTGGAAGGGAGAAATGAAGGATACCAGGGTGATCAGACCGGCATCGGTGAACAACCTGGCAACCTCGCCAACGCGCCTGATGTTCTCCACGCGATCAGCGTCTGTGAAACCGAGGTCCTTGTTGAGACCGTGGCGCACGTTGTCGCCATCCAGCGTGTATGTGTGCCTGCCGTCAATGTGCAGCTTCTTTTCGACGATCGAGGCTATGGTCGACTTTCCCGAACCGGAGAGGCCGGTGAACCAGAGAACCGCCGGTTTCTGGCCCAGCTTTTCGGATCGGGCACCTTTGTCGACGTCGAGCGCCTGCCAGTGAATGTTGCTTGCCCGACGCAGCGCAAACCAGATCATGCCGGCGCCAACCGTTGCGTTGGACATGCGGTCGATCAGGATAAAGGATCCGGTGGACCGGTTGGCCTCATACGGATCGAACGGAACTGCCGAAGACAGCGCGAAATTGCAGAAGGCAATCTCGTTCAGCTCCAGCGTCTTGCCTGCGACATGCTCGAAGGTGTTGACGTTGATCTTGTGCTTGATCTCGGAGACCGTCGCTGTCACCGTCCGGGTACCGATTTTCAGAAGATATGGGCGGCCCGGCAGCAGCGGCTCGTCGCTCATCCAGATCACGTGTGCAGCAAACTGATCGGCTACATCAGGCCGATGAGCGGTCGTGGACAGAAGATCACCGCGCGAAATGTCGATCTCGTCTTCCAGCGTGATCGTGACCGCTTCGCCTGCGGCAGCCTCCGGAACCTCACCTCCTGCTCCGATTATGTTCTTGACCCTGGACATCTTTGCCGGCCCGGCAACGACAAGTTCATCGCCGACTGATACACGCCCGCTGGCTATCGTGCCGGAATATCCACGGAAGTCGAGATTGGGCCGGTTGACCCACTGCACCGGAAAGCGGAATGGCGCCTCAAGCGCATGCTCGCCGACTTCGACGGTTTCCAGATGCTCCAGCAGCGTTGGGCCGGAATACCAGTCCATATGCTGCCCTCTGGCCGTAACGTTGTCGCCAAACCGGGCGGACATCGGGATCGCCTGCAGCGTTTCAAAATCGAAACCATTGGCGAAAACCTCGAACTCCTTGCGGATTTCATCGAAACGGCTTTGAGAATATTCGACGAGGTCGATCTTGTTGATCGCCAGCACAACGTGCCGAATGCCGAGCAGCGAAGCGATGAAAGCGTGCCTGCGGGTCTGCACAAGCAGCCCGTTGCGGGCATCGACCAGCAGAACGGCAAGATCCGCCGTTGAAGCCCCTGTCGCCATGTTACGGGTATATTGTTCGTGCCCCGGGGTATCGGCGACGATGAACTTGCGCTTGTCCGTTGCAAAGAAACGGTAAGCAACGTCGATGGTGATGCCCTGCTCGCGCTCGGCTTCAAGACCGTCGACCAGAAGCGCAAGATCGATGTCTTCCCCGACCGTGCCATGTTTCCTGGAATCGCGCTCAAGCGCAGCCAGCTGGTCTTCGAAGATCAGCTTGGTGTCGAACAGCAGGCGTCCGATAAGCGTCGACTTGCCGTCATCCACAGACCCGCATGTGAGAAAACGCAGCTGGTCCTTGGTTTCCTGCGCCAGGATATAGTCCGTGACCGCCGTTTCCGCGGCTTCTTTTACATCTGCAGTCATCTCAGAAATATCCTTCCCGCTTTTTCTTTTCCATGGACGCGCTTTCGTCCTTGTCGATCAGGCGGCCCTGCCGCTCCGATGTGCGGGCGATCAACATTTCACGAACGATGGCGGGGAGCGTGTCGGCATCGGATTCAATGGCACCGGTCAGCGGGTAACAGCCGAGCGTGCGGAAACGAACTTTCTTTTCCTGGATGATCTCGCCCGGATTCAGCTTCATCCGGTCATCGTCGACCATGATGAGCATACCGTCTCGTTCCACCACCGGTCGCATGGCCGCAAGGTAGAGCGGGACCATCGGAATGTTCTCGGTCAGGATGTACTGCCAGATATCGAGCTCGGTCCAGTTGGACAACGGGAAGGCCCGGATGCTCTCACCTTTGGCAACGCGGGCATTGTAGAGGTTCCAGAGTTCGGGACGCTGGTTTTTCGGGTCCCAGCCATGGCTGGCATTGCGGAATGAAAACATGCGTTCCTTCGCGCGCGACTTTTCTTCATCCCGGCGAGCGCCACCAAATGCGGCATCGAAACCGTATTTGTCGAGTGCCTGTTTCAAGGCTTCCGTTTTCATGATGTGGGTGTGAACAGATGAGCCGTGATCGAACGGATTGATGTTTTTCTGAAGACCTTCAGGGTTGGTGTAGATCAGAAGATCCAGTCCCAGACGCTTGGCGGTATCGTCCCGAAACTGGATCATCTCCCGGAATTTCCAGGTCGTGTCGACATGCAGCAGCGGGAAAGGTGGTTTGGAGGGGTAAAACGCCTTCATTGCAAGGTGCAGCATGACGCCGGAATCCTTGCCGATGGAGTAAAGCATCACCGGATTGGAGAATTCGGCCGCCACTTCCCTGATGATGTGGATGCTTTCCGCTTCCAGACGCTTCAGGTTGCTGAGGCGCTCGGGCGTGATCCCGTGAGATTGCATATTCATGTTCACTTTTCCGTTGTGTCCGGCGAACCGGCCTTATCTGGACCTGTCCTGTCAATATTGTGGCAGCCCGCTAAAGAACGGGAGCAAACCCGGGCAAAAGCTCCCTCGCACTGACGGCAATGAAGTGAGAGTTGCGGAGATCGTCCTTGGTGGCATTTTCCGGCATCGCATAAACGAAATCAGAACCAGTGTCCGCAAGAACGACGGCGCCGCCCGCTGCGCGCACGACGGCATCTCCCGCCGCTATGTCCCATTGCATGGTCGGAGCCAACCGCGGGTAGAGATCCGCCTTCCCGGCAGCCACCCAGCACAGTTTCAGCGAAGATCCGACCGAAACAATTTCACTGACTTGCAGCTTGTGCATGAATGCAGCTGTTTCGTCGGACATGTGGGACCGGCTTGCGACAACCGTCAGGTCTTGCCGGGGTGCATTCACCGCGATCGCCTGAACGTCTTCGATGTTATTGGTGTCCTGGACACGACCGGCAAACGCGCCTTGCGCACTTCCCCAGTAGATCTCCCCAAGAACCGGGGCATAAACCACGCCGAACACCGGCACGCCGGCATCTACCAGGGCGATGTTGACGGTGAATTCACCGTTCTTCTTGAGAAATTCTTTGGTGCCGTCCAGCGGGTCCACCAGGAAATAGACATCGCCGACGGCGGGAAGATTGCCTGCTTCGACAGCTTCCTCGGCAACCACCGGAATGTCGGGGAACGCGTCTGCAAGCCCGGCCAGTATGATCTTCTCGGCCGCGGCATCTGCCTTGGTTACAGGAGAACCGTCAGTCTTGCTTTCGACTTCGAACGGCTCGGCATAGATTTTTAAGATCTCCTCGCCAGCACGAATTGCCAACTGGCTCAATAAGGATATCTGGTCTTCAGTCATGAACGCCTCTAGTTCGCCAAAATCTGCCGATCTTGAGCGAGTTGTACCGGATTTGTAAGTCCGTAAGTAAATGGAACGCATGCATCAATTCAAGAAATGGCGTTCCACGATTGTGCCTGAAAAGAAAAAGCTTCGAACAATCGGCCCTCTGACGAAGGCTATTGTTCCGCACTCCGGGTCACAAACCTGCGAAGCGGGGAATACGACTGTTCTTGAATTCGAATGCCTCCTGCAGTTCGCAAAACACGGGACCTGGATCATTTATTCTTCTGCATTGCGAAAGCACGTTTTCGCGCCAGTCTAAAATCCGGAAAGGCAATCTGCAACAAATCTCTTCATTAAATTGCAATGAAACATCGAATTTCAACCGTAAATTACTTCAAATTTAGTTACATTTTTACGTTTTTACGTTAATTTCAGAATTTCATTAGTTAATTTTCCGGAAAAAATCAATATAACTCGTTATCTACACATGAAAAATCTAAAATTCGGAAACAGTTAAACGTTTGATGGGATAGATTCATTTATTGGAAACCGCTTTCAACTACGCTTTAATGACAATAGGTGCCGACAGATTTCCGAGCCTACGCGAGATGACCATGTCGAACGTCAATCCTGCACCGCAGCAGAATGCGGAAGATGAAGAGCTTGAGGATTTCAAGCCACGCGCCCGGCGCGCCCGCGTCTACAAGAAAGGCAAGATGGTCTTTCAGAACGGGTTGAGATCCATACCCTGCGTTGTCCGGAATATTTCCGATGGCGGCGCGATGCTGGAATTCGACCAGCCTTATATCCTGCCCAAGGATTTTGAACTTTATATCGATCTGGAAGACTACGAAGTCACCTGCGAGCGCCGCTGGGAAGCCGGCCTGAATTGCGGCGTCATGTTCACAAGTGAAAGACGCAATGTTCCGCAGCAACGCTACCAGACGCTGAAGCCGTCCGACAACACCTTGCAGGAAGATCACGAAGATGATCTTGAAGAAGATGACGCGCTGGACGCGGAAACTTCCGGCGAGGCGTCACAACGCCAGCATCCACCGATGAGTGGAAAACCGGCCTTTGGAAAACGGCGCTGACGCGCACGATTATTCATAAGAGGGTGCAAACCTGAGCCGGATTCCGATTCACGGAATGACAAGGTCTTCTTGTTAAAAGAGTCATGTTCCCGGGCACTAAGTGCCCCTGAATGACCGTGAGATGTGAAACGAACATGCCCGACGCAAAACAAGAACCGCTGACTTCAAGCGAAGAGACCGAGAGCGACATCAACGAACGTGCACGTCGTGCCCGTGCCTTGAAACGGGGCAAGTTGCTGTTCAATCGAGGCCTGCGTTCCGTGCCCTGCATCATTCGCAACCTGTCCGATACCGGTGCAAAGCTGGAATTCGAACAGGCCTATCTGCTGCCGCAGGAATTCGACCTGCAGATCGATCTTGAAGATTTCGAGGTGACCTGCGAGCGCCGCTGGGAAGAAGGCCTCAGATGTGGCGTGGAATTCATCAGCGAAAAGCGGCCGGTCGGAAAACTGCGTGCCCAGATCCTGAAATCATCAGACGACGCACTCACCGAGGAAATCGACGAGTTGAGAGATTCGCCGGACAACTATTTCTCGCGCAAGCGCGTTATGGACGAGAAGAACAAGCCCGCATCCGAGCAACCCGTCAGAACCGCGCGCCCAGCAGGCGGCAAACCCGGGTTCGGTAAACGGCGCTGAGCCGAAACGCTTGTCACGGATGCAGGATCAGGAGACCCGTGGCCCTGCGCTTCCTCCGTCACGCCCGCGGTTCACCGCTCAGCCTGCACACTTCCTGTAGCGCTCGTCCCGGTCAAACGCCGTGGCCAGCGGAACGGTGCTGCCTGCCGATCCGATGCCGAAAACCATCGGCGTCCCCACATCGATCGGCATCAGCCAGCCTCCCGCAATTGAAAGCAGCCCGGCTTCAGGTGAAAGAAGCCCACGGTCAATCCAGGCAAGAAACAGATTCCCGACCGGGACACCGTAGCAGACGTCGCAGGCGCCCTTGCCTGATTCGCCTGCAAGAAACGGGCTTGAAGGGTCGAATGTCTGCATGATGACCATCGTCTGCACCAGCCAGCTCCCCAAACGTCAATGAATACGGCACCCAACGGCGAGATACATGCAGCCTTCAGGGGTTTCCTCCTCCCAGGCTGTCCGTCGCGCCGTCAAACGTGTCCGACACCGGCGCCACCCGGCATGAAGCAACAATGTGAAATACACAGACACCGGAGCCACAATCCCCGGTTACCTTGCAAAGAGCGTGGTCCCGATTTGCCAGCCGGGCCGCATTCTGACATGATCGCGGCGCCGGACCGTATTTTGGTTCGGTTATACCGCATTAAGCAAGAAGCACCCCGGCAACACTGCTGGGGTGTTTCGCGTTTGGGTCGAAGAAGCCCAACTCCGTAGCCTTCTCCCCCACACGCCCTGCTGTTTGCATCACCGACACAAACACGAGTTCCATCGTTCTGTAACGCGCAAGAACACTTGGCCTAAAGGGCTTTTCCGGGATTAAGTGGGATTAGGTGATTTTTGGCGATTTTCTGCCGATTACCGTGAAATCTATCGCAACCAGGCGCACCACTTCATTTGGCCAAAATGACGAAACATTGCACAGCGAACTTCGGGGTCATCTGAAGAAGTGTAATTGAATCAAGCGCCGCGCAAGTTCAAGGTGGGACCTTTGGCTGGCGTTAGTTCTATATAGAGGCGGTTATCATCAGTGTCTTAAAGGCGCATTTCGCTCATATGTAACCGAATACATGAAAAGTGTTTCATACGAAGACGAAAACCTACCTGATTGGCTTCCCGGAAATTATGCTTCCAGACGTTTCCTTTTGATAGCTGTCCCGCCACTTTGCCTTAATTGCAGTCAGAATAAGTTTAAAACAAACATCTGGGCGATGACCGTTGTGCCAATCCAAGCAAAACGGCCACGCCGTGTCACTTGCAGAAATATACATAGAAACTGCTTGATTGAATTTTTCATCTTTTGGACTGCTAATCTTGAGGTTTTTTACACCCTTTGCAATCGAAGATACTTCACCAACATATTCATTGCATTTAGCTGGATTTCGTTTTTCTAACCATTCCGTAGCGCATTTATAGAATTTATCCGAATTCAAAAATCTATAGGCAAGAAGAACTGCCACTGTTCTGGAACGAGTATCTTCTAATTCTAATGCGACTGTGGCACTTGCGGAAGAAAGGCTGTACACAAAATACGAATGCGCAAAAAACCCAATAAAAACAAGACGATAAATCTTCATCTCCGTGAAACACATTTGATACTACCGACTACTAAAGACTTACTGAACTTCCACTATCGAGCGTGAATATAATAGCCGATCCTTGACAATAAGACCAAGTGCATCTCAACAAAAACGAAACAATATTACTAATAGTGTTGCATATGACAGTAAATTGCAGAGTTGAGATCCGTTTCTTGATCAAGAACGTAGGATCTCAACATCACCGGAAAATATCGCAAAAAAGGAAGCCCACCAAAAATAGCGGGCCAACTTAGTATTTTGTATCTGACAGGTCAGACTTGCGATGCCCCGCGCTTACGACGCGCGACAAAACCCAATAGGCCAAGCCCGCCAACAAGAAGTGGAAGTGCAGCAGGAACAGGAACCGGTGTGACGCTATACTCAACAAGATACCCGCGAATTCCCGGATTGTCCGGAACGTCGTTCCAGCGACCGGTGGCGCTGTCTTCCCACCAGGCGACGACATAGTCCTCACCACCTTCGTTGTTCGGTTCTCCCGGCTTCCAGTTGGTATACGCCAAGGGATTTCCGCCTTCAGGCCCGTCCAGCCATTCGAACGAACCTTCTGTGTTGCGGTCCGTCGCTCCAATCAGGAAGAAGCTGTAGTCCATGAACTGACCCGTCACGCTGCCTGCACCAGGCCAGTGCGAATTGAGAAATGTTTGTTCGGCAGCAGACGTTATCGTCGCAAGATAGCCACCCAGCCCCATGAAGGAAGATGACCCGGCAAGCGCTTCTGCCTGTGTTGCCATCAATGACGGGTCTCCGGACCCGAGCACGACAAATTCATACCAGTGATCGTTGCCTCCGGATCCGGCAGACCATTGGAATGGTGCAGCTGCAGCCGAGGAAATCATTGCTAGGCTTGCAGCTGACGTTAATAGAAATTTTTTCATGAGATGCCCCCAAACTATATTTGAAAAAGCTTCAAATTTCCTAAGGTTTAAAGCTAATTTTCGATTAACTATTTCATTGAGTAAGAACTTGGTGAATATGTCAATATTACACCTTTCATTTTTTCAATATGAAAATCGATATTCTTTCTAATTTACTTGATCGTGCAATTATTTTGGTTATTTCTCTATATTTTTCATATAGTTACTTCTCACGTTTTTGATACGGTATTCGAATTTTTTCCAATTTGAAAATTGTGCTTCGCCCAGATTTTAGTCTTTTGCGGATCTGGTGAGGGTGACTCGATATAAGACTTGATCAAGCGATCGATGGCGCGACGCGTTACCATATTGTGATCTTCGGAGTACCCAAGAGAAGCGACCATTTTCCAATGTCCGTACATCATGCTGACGAACAAAAAAGACAGCTCAGATGCAGATTGCTGGCTTAGCTCTGGATATTGGACCACAAACTCGTGGCTAAGCACCTGGCCCAAAAGACCGTACTGATCGGCAAGCGCGGTTCGGATGGGAGCTGACCTGGCTGCCAAAGCCATCATTGCATCATAGACCTGATCGTCACGCGGCTTGGGGTTATCCGCCAGCAAGTCGAAATAGAAATCGAGGAAAACCGAAATTCTCTCGGGACCATCAAGCGCGCTTGCTGCTGCAATCAAAGTTTCGCTGTAAAGACGCGCGAGATGGTCACATACCGCGATCATTAACGCTTCATGATCGGGAAAATAGTGGCGCACCAGTTGTCGGGACATTCCGGACTTGCTGGCGACGAGATCGAATGACAGCTCCCCGAGCCCGTGAGACTTGAGAGCATCAAACGCACCCTGAACTGCTTGCGCACGCCTGTCCTGCGTTTCGTTTTCCGATGATGCCATATTATAATTCCTGGATTATTGAAAATGTAATGTATTCGCAGAAGTTCGTTCAGCACATTCCCTGCACGTTCAGAAATTTTCAAGCATCAATCGGGATTGAAGCGATTGGCAGACAAGCCAGAAGACCGAAAAAAAGCACCTGGCTGGAAATTTGCCGGTGCGACTGGATCAATTTCTCCAACTAGTTTTCCGACTATTACAAGCGAAAGCGCGAGGGCTGTTCCATTTGCGACAGTCGAGTACTTAACCAATGACGACCATAATTGGTCTATTTGTTCAGAAGCTTGTGACATCAAAAAACCAACCTTCCATCTATGATTGCAGTTACGCGTGCATCACACCAAGTATGTTTGAATTTTTCATACTTTAAATTCATGTCGGGGACTGAGGTGCGTGGAATAACTCGGCTGGTCTTTCTCTCCCTTTTGCTGTCCTTCGGGTCCATTTCTGGATCATTCTCACAAGATCCCGTTCAAGTAGACAAAACCGATCAGCTTGTCGCCGAAGTGGTCCAGGCGGCGCGGACCAATCAGCTCAGTGCGGAACGTGTCCTCTATGCGGCCGATCAGGCGATCGACGCAGCAGCCGTGATCGTCTCTTCGATTCAGAATAGCCGGCTCATTCATTCGGAACTGAAACGCCTTGCCACCGGTGCACCAGGCTCGCGCGCAATCATCGTCATCGGGCCCGACGGCAAGCTCATCCATGTATATGTAACGCGCAAGAACACTTGGCACTAAGGGCTTTTCCGGGATTAAGTGGGATTAGGTGATTTTCAGCGGTTTTCCGCCATTTTGGCAGGTATCAGGCGATACTCAGCGCGCAACTTCACTTGGCACCACCTAATGAAATCTCACGGTGCGCAAATGATGTCATCTAAAAAATGTAATAAAATCAATAATTGCGCAACTTCAAGGTGGGAACTAATCTGTAAGTTTCGATGTGAGTTCGCACCTTGGCAAGAATGCCAGAAATCCGAGACTAACGTCGAATTTCTTTCGACACCGGATCAAGCGAGGTGCGAACTTTCACGTATGTGTCTTCACCTTAATTTTCGGACTAGGTTTCGATTTTGGCCGCAGTTGAATTGCTTACAAGTCGGCATCAAAAAAGTTGGTGAGAGATTAGGACCCGTTTCGTAAGGGTCCTTCTCAGTTTTATGAACCTAATTTCACATCAGTGACCTTGAAGCTTCGCGAACGTTGTTCGTCGCCCCGTCGAGCTGGCTTGCCGCAGACGAAATTGTCTGAAGGTTTTTGGTGATGACATCGACACCCTGAGCCGCGGCTTGCATGTTCGATGAAATGTCGTTTGTCACCGCCGTCTGTTCCTCGACAGCGCTGGAGATACTGGTTGCGATTTCCGCGATGTTCTTGATCACACCCATGATCGACGTGATCGCTTCCACGGCTCTATCGGTGGTTTCCTGGACGGAACTAATTTGGCTCGAAATCTCTTCCGTTGCCTTGCTGGTCTGCGACGCGAGGTTTTTCACTTCCGAGGCGACGACTGCAAAACCCTTGCCGGCTTCGCCGGCACGTGCTGCTTCGATTGTTGCATTGAGTGCAAGAAGGTTAGTCTGGTCAGCAATTCCGTCGATCAGTTCGATGACTGAGCCGATGGTCTTGGCATCTTCG